TGGTTATACACTGGGCCGAATGAAACCCTTATTAAGCAATTCCTGTAACTGCTCCTTCAACTCCTTCAACTCAGGAGGAGCCATATGGTACGGAAGAATAGAAATGGGCTGAGTGTCCGGCAACAGATCAATGCCAAAATCAATAACTCTATCGGGCAGCATATCCGGAAGGTCAGCTGGAAACACATCAAAGAAATCCCGTACTACTGGGACTGAATCAACTGTAGGGGTATCAATACTGACATCTCTCACATAAGCTAGATATGCGTCATACCCCCTTCTCAACCATACGATGAGCCTTAAGAAACGAAATAACTATACTGGAAGTATGATCTAAGGTACCCCTCCACTCTACTCGCGGACACCTGGCATAGCTAGCGTCACAGTTTTCGCGTGACAATCAAGAATAGCATAATGAGGCGACAACCAGTCCATGCCCAGAATAACATCAAAGCCTACCATGCTGAGCAATAACAAATCGGCTCTGGCCTCAAAACCACTAAGAGCAATCAAACACGACCAATAAACGTGGTCCACAAGAAGAGAATCTCCAACAGGAGTAGAAACATAAACAAGAGAACTCAAGGAAATCCCGAGATACGCCCGAATACGGGGCAAAATAAGAGGACACATAAGAATAAGTGGAGCCTGGATTGAATAGAACCGATGCATCTCTATGACAGACCAAGATAATACCTGTGATGACAGAATCGGAGGCGACAGCCTCGGTACGGGCAAAAAGGGCATAGTATCTGGCCTGGTCTCCCCCTCTAAGGCGACCTCTACCTCTAGCTGGCGGGGCAAGTGGGGTAGCAACTGGTGCTGAAATCATAGCCTTGAAACTCTGCGGAGCATGTTGTGGCTAAGAAGTCTGTTGAGGTGCACCTCTCCCTAATCTAGGACAATACCTCACCACATGGTGTATGTCACCACACTCAAAACAACCTCGCGCTTGACGTGGCAGTGGGAACTGTGCGGTACAGGTACTCTGAGACCCCTGAACACCTGAAACACTGTGCGAAGCCTGAAACGCAAACTGAGCTGGCTGACCCACAAAACCTCTACTATGTTGTACTCTTCCTCCAAAATAAGGGCCAGTGGATCTCTTCGGTCTACGAGGTCTCCTTGCCTCCCTATACTGTCTCTCCTGACCTCGTCTGTTCTCTCCCTCCTGGACCCACCTGTCCTCTACTCGGCGACAGATCCTCACCACCCGCTGAACTGGGACCACATGCTGTGTCGCCACAAAACCTGGAACCTAACCAATGGGAACTCGATGCTCTAGAGTGGGGACGGTGGGAGTCTGGGTTTCTCCCCCGATCTGTCAAGTAACTGGTACAACCCGAATTAATCCTGCCTGAACCAATGTACCAAACATGCTCAGGTACTGTGTTAAGGTCTCCTGAAGTGCTGGAGTAGTAGTAGCAGTAGGCGTATCAAGCGCCTGGGCTCCAGCCGGAACTACTGGTGGCTCCTCTGTAGCAGCTCGCGTGGGTGCTCTGGCTGCATCGCGCGTGCATCCTCGGCCTCTACCCCGGCCCCGACCTCTGATGGCTCTCGCAAGGGGCGCTGGTATCCGCTCACCTCTAGTAGCACGTGTCTTCACCATCTGTGAGAGAATGGAAGGCAGAAGTTTAGGATTGTGATGTCAAAAATCTTGCACGACAAGGAAATCAAATGAAGTGGAATTTTCCTAAAGGTTACATAGCCTCTCGTGGATAAGTACAGACGTCTCCGTACTGATCCGCGAGACTCTAATAAACCAGCTTGTGATTCATGACTCCTATGAACCTAGAGCTCTGATACCAACTTGTCACAACCCCAGTTCGCTCTTCGTGAACTGTCGTGACGGCACCTAGTCTCCACGACTAGGCAAGCCTAACAAATGCAGAAAAAAAAAAGAAAACAATTGCAGAACAAAGTAATTAAAACCCGAGTTAACAAGGTTAAAAAGTGTTTAAGATGCTGCCTGGCGTATAACGGTGCAAGAATCTCAATCTAACACTCCCAAAATCCGGAACCCCATGAATCACAAGCTAAAAGATTACATAATAAGCTCTAACTCCAGAATGTCTACCAACAAGGGAAAGTACAGAAAGGGCTATACTAGTACTGAGAATAGAAAAGGACTCTTCGGTCTGCGGACACGGCAGATATACCTCGAAGTCTCTACAAAACGCCTCGCGTCAAGTGTGATAAGTCTGAGTGGGAGTACCTGGATCTCCACACGAAAAACATGCACAGGAAGGGCATGAGTACACTACAGCGGTACTCAGTAAGTGCCAAGCCTAACCTCGGTCGGGTAGTGACGAGGAAGGTCAGGGCCCTACTGAGGTTAAAGGAAATACAAGATATAATAGTGTAGAATAAGACAGTATACTTAAGTGCAATAGTAAAAAAAATAACACGGGATAGAAGAACAACAACAACTTTAACAGAAACAAAGTAATCACGGAGATAAATACAGCTCAACACAAAGATAACAATCGGGGATCTCTCAGTATCCCGAGGATCTCTTAGTATCCTCAATATGTGTGTTGGGGATCTCTTGGTATCCCAAGGATCTCTTAGTATCCTCAATATACGTGCTAGGGATCTCTTAGTATCCCGAAGATCTCTTGGTATCCTCAATATACGTGCTGGGGATCTCTTGGTATCCCGAGGATCTCTTGGTATCCTCAATATATGTGCTGGGGATCTCTTGGTGTCCCGCACCACAGTCAAATTCAATATATGCACAGGGGATCTCCCGGAATACTCATCTGTAGTCCCAAAATAAAAGAAAGACAACAATATCAAGGAAAGAATCCACAATTTCATTCAAGAGCGAAACAGTATGAAGTAACACACTATAATGATAAAGATAAAAATAAATACAACAGAGAAAATATCGCAGAGAGAATACTGCTCAACACAGAGATGGCAACCCGAGATATACCAGGATACCGTCCTATAGCGCCCAAATGTAAATATCCAGCAACCGGGGATCTACCAGGATACCGTCCTGTAGCCCCAAATGTAAATGTCCAGTGGATCTCCCGGGTGTCGTCCCGTAGTCCAACGCATAGTGCGCCGGGGATCTACCGGAATCTCGATCTGTAGTCCCCAAATATAACAGACAAGGTGGATTTACCGGAATCGTAGTCCCAAATAAACAGACAAGGGGGATCTACCGGGAACCGCCCGTAGTCCCAATGTAAACACGTAGCAACAACACAAGGATAATCAACTCAAACCAATTAATATCAAAATGGATAGGTAATTCTAACCTAACATGCTGCACAGAGTTCACATAAACAGTTTAAGCAGATAGGACAATTAATACACTTAAGCATGCTTCCCTAAACTACGCAGTAGGCTTAAAAAGATACAAGTGATGTTCAAGAAGAAAGAAGCACAGTTAATTTACTTAATGAAAAACAGGTTTCCAACAATTAGCACGTGTACGCACTCGTCACCTCACGTACACGACATTCATATAACAACAATACCAAATCCTAGGGGGAATGTCCCCCACACAAGGTTAGATAAGCCACTTACCTCGAACCGGCTCAAAATCAACCTGAAACCACGTTCTTGCCACGAGTACTCGACTCCAAATGGCCCAAATCTATTCAATTCAATTGCATAATATAAATAACACTTCAAGTAACTGATTCTACAAATAAATTCTAAGCTAATACGCGAAATTAGGTAAAATGACCAAAATGCCCCCGGGCCTACGTCTCGGAATCGGGTAAAATTTACAAATTTTGAATCCTCACACTCTCACAAGTTCAGCCATACCAAGAGAACCAAAAACGGCGCTCAAATGGTCCCTCAAATTATCACTCAAACTCTCCACTTAACTAAGCCCTAGTTCCTTCAATATTTACCCACAAATTTCCATAAAATTCAAGCTTAATCGATGAAATAACACCATAGGAACGAGTTTTATGTTCAAAAATCTTACCTCAATGGAGTTCCCTTGAATTCTCTCTTCAAAATCTCGCAAAAAGCTCCAAAGCCAACTTAAAAATGGTAAAAATAACCAAAGTTTCACGAAGGGAACCTTTTATATTTTCTGACCCAGGCTTTTCGCATCTGCGGTCCCTACACCGCATCTGCGATACTACATCTATGGCCAAAGCACCAAATCTGCGGCTTTCACTTTAAATCAAAATGTCGCACCTGCCTCACCTCCCGCACCTGCGGTCCCGCAGGTGCGACCAATCATTCGCACCTGCACTTCAGCCCTTCACGCCAACTTCCACATCTGCGCTAGTCTTCCACTTCTGTAGGCCCACACCTGCGGTCCCCTAGCCGCAGGTGCGGTTATGACAGTAATGGAAAAACTTCAGCTGCCAAACCCAACACAAAATCTTCCGTCAACCATCTGAAATCACACCGAGGCCCCCGAGACCTCAACCAACAGCACGAACAAGTCATATACCACTATTCAAACTTATACAAATCTTCAGAACACCTCAAACAACATCGAATCAACCAATTAACATCGGATTCAAGCCTAAGAACTTCGAAACTCTCAAATTACACTTTCAATCAAAAAGTCCATCAAACCTCGTCCAAATGACCTGAAATTTTGCACACACATCACATTCAACATTACGGAGCTACTCCAACTCCCAGAATTCCATTCCGACCCTGATATCGAAATCTCACTATCGAACCGGAAACTTTAAAAATTCAACTTTCGGCATTTCAGGCCTAATTAAGCTACAGGCCTCCAAAACACAATCCGAACACGCTCCTAACCCGAAATCACCCAACGGAGTTAACGGAACCAATGGAATTCCATTATGAGGCCGTAATTACACTGTTCCGACTACGGTCCAAACTCTAAAACTTAAACTCTCATTTAGGGACTAAGTGTCCCAAAACTCTCCGAAATTCCAAATAAATCTTCCTGGCAACTCACAATAGCAGAAACAAACATGGGGAATGCAGTTAATAGGGAATCGGGACGTTAATTCTTAAAATGACCGGTCGGTTCATTACAGTTATACCTCTTCATTATCGCCGATAGCTGTATCAGTCTGTATGTGACCTGTTGGATTATCTTGCAAGTTGGCAACATATGACATTTCAATACCATCATCACGTCTCCTTGTGGTTTTCTTTATCTGGTATACACTTTCCTTTTGCTGGTTGTCTTGAAGATGTTCAGAAAGCATCTTAAAGTTCTCATTGATCAATGATCTTAGAGACGTGTACTCACCCATCACCTAAGCAAGACAGAAATAATTAGAGAAGTGCGCCAAAAATATACGAATGTTAAGCACTAATCTGTAATGTTTAATATGTGCATAAAAAACTCACGTAATCTTTGAATGAATTTAGATCTTTCCATAAAGAAGATACTTCATCATTTTTGGAATCTGCCGACTGATTGTGATGCAAAACATTTTGTGCTATTTCAGATACGCCAATAGGAGGAATCTTGAATTGAGTATCTGCATTTGAGGGATGTATAATCTGTTCTTTGCGCTTTTTATGGGGCGGTGATGAATATGGACCAACACTTGCAGCATGTTTCTTCTTAGACTGAAGATCAGGTGTAGGTGAAAAGTCATCTGAATCCTCTGCCGACTTGTCTGAATGAGTAGGAGTAGGATTGTTCTCAACAGCAACGCCTACTGGAGGAATTTGAATAACGGCAAGCTCTATATCGCTTGGCTAGATGTCCTTGTAAACAATCTGAAAAACGAAATACACTCAAAGTGAACTACCATGGTTGTATGAAAATCTAAAATCAAATGTAAGTTGTATGCAAATGTAGGTTGTATGCAACTGTATGAAACTGTATGCAACAGTATTGACTAACAGAAAGGTATTCTAAGAGAAAAAAATAAAATAGCCACCTAACAAATAGTAAATTACCATGTTTCCCTGGTCATTGAACATGCCGTTCATCAGATAAGCAAAGTTTGGCTGATTTCCGGTGGATATCCAATTGAGTATTCTGGGTACCACGTTATCAACTCGCAATGCAATTTTGGGATCAACATTTGAACAACACTCATAAAACCAAACTTGCATGGCTAGAGGCATCCCAGCTATCCTATAGTACTTCTTCTGAGAATCCATCTTCTTGCTAATAGATTTTATAAGGCTTTCAAATGCTTTTATACCCCATGGATAATCAGAATATCTCCTACTCTCGACCAAGTCAAAATGCAGCCTTGGGATGGTTGTGCTGTTCTTCTCGGATGAAAATATGAAAGTGTGTATTAAATACAACACAACTATCTTGAAGGCATCCCCATCGTTGTCATGACCCCAATTCTTCTTAGCAAAGCATTTCAACAAATATTTCTTTTTGACAAGATTGGCACCGCCAAAGTATGTCCCAACAATCCGGTTAGGAACCTTTTCATTGAACTGAAAATCATCAGGGTTACCAACACATTTGAGGCCAGTCACAAGCGCAAACTCCCTTATTGAGAAAGATAATGTTGTACCATTGACGTATATTGAAAATACATCATCAGGACTTCCTTCTAACTGCATAACCATGAAGCATCTGAACAATTGATGTTGGACTTCACAATGCTTCATTTCAAGGAAACTTCCAAAACAAGTATTACCCAGTTGTTTGTACTGCTCCAGAGTAAGATTTTCTTTGAGGTCGGAGACTATATTATTGTTAGTATATACACTGATATGCGGTGCAAATATAGGCTGTTGTTTCACAAACAGCTTAATTTCCTGCATACAACAAGAATTAAAAAAACATTTCAGATGTCACATCAACACATATTTCATAGTATAACTGCTATGAATACATATAAATACAACTGAATACAAAATGAAAAAGTAAACTAGAGTTAGAAATTAGTGATAGAAATGTAAGTACATATATAATACATACACATACAACAAATAAAGACATTGCAATTAGTAGAAAACAGTGATGGAAACTTTGAAAATCCTTATAAATACAACTTTATACAATATGAAAAGGTCAGTCTAGTAAGTAAAAATACAGTGAATGAACTTTTTGAATACATCTAAATAAATCTAAATACATTATGCAACATATAATTCAATGAAGTCAAACTTTGTATACATCAGAATACATCTACATATTTGTATCATTGATTTCTGTAAGTACAAAAATACATTGAATATACTTTTTGAATAAATCTTAATACATCTACATGTATTTATACACATAAAAAACAGTGAAGTCAAAATGTTTATACATATAAATACAGAGGAATACATCAACAATACAGATGAATACATTAGAAATTACCCTTTCTTCCAGTGTTTCCGAGCTTTTACTTGCTCCAACCTCCTTCCCCTTGACAGATGAAGCTTTAGTAATATATTTTTTCCTCTTATCCGCAATGCGAAGTCTTGTTTCCTTCAAGGATTTCCCAACTTGGGTTTCTTTGAAATTGTCATGGCGAGATTTTGTTCTCTTCTCCAATGCCATATTTTTGGCTAAACCTGCATCCAATTCCCCTTGAGTGATTTGCAAGGAGAATGAGGGCCCATCGAAAGTGAGAATTTTAGTGGGTATACCTCTGGTAATCAACTTGCGGGATGTTGAATCAAACATTGTGAGAATACAGATGGATAATGTTGATTAGAGAAAAATTGGTGAGTAGAGATGTTGAGAATAAACAAAAAAAGCGAAAATCTAAAATTTTAAATACTTACCACACTAATTATAGAAACAAATAACAATAATCGAGAGGAAATTAGGGTTCATACTGAGAATGGGGAAGAAGGAAGCGGTGTGGGTGAGAGGTTTCTCTGGTTTTGAGCGTGTTTACAGGGAATGGAAAAGAGAATAGAGTGTATCAAAATAGAGAGAGAAAGAACGTGTATTGAGAAGTTTTTATGAAATACGGTAATTATGAGAGAGAAAAATCTGAAAAAGGAGAGAGAAAAATAAAAAATAGCGTGTTTAGTGGCTTAAGGATAAGAGACAACCAAAATTAGAAATTTTGCTATAAACACTAAAAGGTATCTATAGAATATAATTTTTTAAAATGGTATTTATTTAAAATAAATAAGGTGTTAACCTTTTCTATAGGAGGTAAAAATTCCTAAAAAAAATTGCAAGCATACTCACTTTTCGCGTAACTTCAGACATACGAGCCTGAAGTAGCAAAAATTTGTGTCTGAAGTTTGAACTTCAGAATTTTTTGCCTGGAGTTTGGCCTGACTTTCAAAGGCAATCATGCAAACTTCAGTTCATAAGCAAGGGCAAACTTCAGTTCAATTGTGTATGTCTGAAGTTTGAACTTCATAATTTTTTGCCTGAAGTGTAGCCTTATCAAAACAAAACTTTAGATATTTTTGCCTGAAGTTTGGCCTGACTTGCAAAGGCAATCACGCAAACTTCAGTTCATAAGCAAGGGCAAACTTCAATTAAATTGTGTACTTCAGATATTATTCTATGAACTTCAGTCATTTTGATATAAACTTCAGATATTTTGATATAAACTTCAGACATTTGGTTATGAACTTCAGATATTTGGCTAAGATTGTCAAACATATGGGGTATATACTTCAGATACTAAAGTATAAACTTCAGACATTTGAGTTTGAAGTTAGGCGCTGCTATTGGCGAACTTCAGATGCCCAAGTCTGAAGTTTAATTTAATAATTCCATTTCGGTGAGTGTGCGGGCAGAAGAGAAAGGCAGTACTACCAATGAAACCATGTATTACCAAGAAATGCAAATCCGGAGAGCGAAGATGACAGTTTTATTCTTGCATATTGCCATGAACTAAGAGATATTGTTACGACCCCGGTTCGCCCTCCGTGAACCATCGTGACGGCACCTAGTCTCTACGACTAGTAAGCCTAAATTGCGAAAAAGAAACCAAAATTTGCGGAAGTAAAACAATTTAAAACAGAAATAAGAAATAATCAGTGTATAAATGTGCCGCTCGGCATACACCATATTTAACTCTCAAAACCAACACATAAATCCAAGACCCGGAAACCCATGAATCACAAGCTAAGAAGTACTACATAGCTCTAACTCCGGAATGTCTAACCAGAACTGAAATACAGAAGGGCTAATACTAAACAGCAAGAATAGAGAGAGACTCCTCGGTCTGCGGACGCGGCAGATATACCTCAAAGTCGCCATAGCAATCACCTCGCCTCAGGGGTGGTAGGACTGAGTCGAAGTACCTGGATCTGCACATGAAAAACATGCGCAGGATGGGCATGAGTACACCACAACGGTACTCAGTAAGTGCCAAGCCTAACCTCGATCGGGTAGTGACGAGGAAGGTCAGGGCCCTACTGAGGTTAAATAATAATATAAGGTTTAACATTGTGAAATAAATAGTGTAAATAAGTAACACAGGATATGAAGGACAACAACAACTATTACAAAGGAAAGTAAAACACAGAAAGAGAATACAGCTCAGCTCCGAGATAACAACCGGGGATCTCCCAGGATACCGTCCTGTAGTCCGCAAATATAAATATCATATCCAGTGGATCTCTCGGGTGCATTCCCGTAGTCCAACTCATAAATGCGCGGGGATCTACCGGAATACCACATCCATAGTCCCAAATATAAATACTCAGTACTGGGGAATCTACAGGGTGCAATCCCATAGTTCCAATGTAAAAGTGCAGGGGGATCTCCCGGAATGCAATTCTGTAGTCCCAAAGTAAACATACAGGGAGGGGGGCTCCCGGGATACCGTCTCGTAGTCTCAAAGTAAATACACAGCAGCAACAAGAACTCAATTCAATCAATTTCATACCAAAGTCAGACAGATAATTCTAGCCTAGCATGCTTCATGTAATACAATTAAGGCAGTTAAGTCAAATAGAACAATTTAGTCAAGTAGACATGCTTCTCTAGTCTAACAGCTGGCTAAATTTCCAAGTAGTGTAAGCAAGAAAAGAAGAACACAATTCAAGGCTATTTCTAATGAAGTAAAAACCGGATTTCCAAAAATTAGCACAAGTACGTGCTCGTCACCTCATGTACAAGGCATTTCAATTATCACAATATCAATCCTAAGGGGAAAGGTCCCCCACACAAGGTTAGACAAGCCACTTACCTCGAACCGGCTCAATTGTCAACGCGAAACCACGTTTTTGGCACGAGTATCCGACTCCAAATGGCCCAAATCTATTCATTAAATTTCATAATGTAAATAACACTTCAAGTAACTGATTCTACAATTAAATTCTAAGCTAATACGCGAAATAAGGTGAAATGACCAAAATGCCCCTCGGGCCCACGTCTCGGAATCGAGTGAAATTTATATTTCCCGAATGCTCACACTCTCACGAGCTCATACATACCAAGAACACTAAAATCGGAGCCCAAATGACCCCTCAAATTCTCATTTCAAAGTCTCTTAATCCCAAGCTCTAAATCTCACAATTACCACTGATTTTCCTTAATTTTTCATGCTTAAATTGATAAAAATCATCCCAATAACGAGTTTAGGGATCAAAGACCTTACCCCGATGAACTCCTCTGAAAATCCCTCTTGAAAAGTGCTTCCTAAGCTTCTTCCCGTTTGAAAAAAGATGAAAAATGACTAAGTTTCGCGAAGGCAAGGATTTATATGATCTGCCCAGCGATTACCGCATCTGCGGTCTCGCATCTACGAAACCCAATACATTTCATTTAAGGGGGGGATTCCGCACCTGCGACTACATCACCGCAGATGCGGTGCCGCTTCTGCGGTTACCTGACCGCATCTGCGGTCGATTCCCTTTTGCCTCCAAAACCGCTTCTGCGACCACTGAGCCACTTCTGCGGTGTCGCACCTGCGGAACCCAAACCGCAGGTGCGGTTATGACAGATACCAGCAGCTTCAACTGCTTCAAACCATTCCAAAACCTCCCGTCAACCATCCGAAATCATCCCGAGGCCCCCGAGACCTCAACCAAAGGCACCAACAAGTCTAATATCACTGCCCGAACTTGTACCAATCCTTAAAACACCTAAAACAATATCGAAACCTCAAATTAAACATGAATTCAATCCTAAGAACTCCAAATTTCTCAAAAATACGCTTTCGATCAAAAAGTCTATCAAATCTCGTCCGAATGACCTGGAATTTTGCACACACGTCACATTCAACACTACGAAGCTATTCCAACTTTCGGAATTCCATTCCGACCATCGGATCAAAATCTCACTATCGAACCAGAAACTTCAAAAATCAAACTTCCGGCATTTCAAGCCTAAATTAGCTACGGACCTCCAAAACACAATCCGACCACGAACCTAAATCCGAAATCGCCCAACAGAGCTAAAGGAACCATCGGATTTTCATTCCGAGACCGTCTTCACACTGTTCCGACTACGGTCAACTTTCCAGCACTTAAGCTCTCATAAACTCTCCGAAATTCAAAACCAACCATCCCCGCAATTCAAAATAGCAGAAATAAACTTGGGGAAAGCAGTTAATAGGGGATGGGGGCGTAAATTCTAAAAACGACCGGCCGGGTTACAGATATAGTTCAGCGTGAACTCTCAAGATCCTAAATCGGGGAACTCATCAGAAAAGAAGAGGAGGAAGAAAGGAACGCATAGGTCAGGAGGCATCTGAAGTTGTTAAAATTAGAGTATAGGTTAAATAATTTTAAAAATATGGATATAGATTATATGGGGGCGACCAAATAGGACGTCCCGTGAAATTTTTACATAAGTTTTTTGGGAAACTACACTGTCTAGTCATTCCCCCGGAAAATTTATATTTTCTATATATTATATATAAATTTGATTAATAATCAATGTATATTTTTGTGTATTTAGCTACCGAATATAATAATTTTTTGCCGACAGACCAAATATATAACTTGCACGTAAATGTTTACTAGTCAACTGGACTATTGTGCCAACTTATAGTCAATTTCTCTAATACGCCAATTGTTACAGGCATCTCTAGCAACATATTTGTGACTCAATATGACTCATGAGCTCATAAAACAACTTGTGTTTCCCGTGGTGGCAAAATGGATTTAAAAAAAAATTATTTATTTATATTATCCATTAAAAAATAGGTTGGATAATAAACTTTTAAAAAAAAAAGAATTAACCTAAATAGAATGAACTTTTTAACAAGAAGAATTAACCTAAAAGTAAATATTAAATCTGGCCGGCTATTTGTGTAATAATTCCTTTTAAAAATGGGTCAAACATGGATAAGATTCATATTATCCGCTTGAAAATTGGATAACCAATAAACTTAACTTTTATATTTGCAAAGACTCAAATTGGGGGTTCCTCAAATTATGGAGACTAGAATTCTCCAAAAAGTGATCATATGCAATTAAGAAGCCATGGATAATATGAATATCTGTATTATCACTCAGTTAATCTAATTTTTTTATCCGTATTAAATATGAGTCAGGTCTGATAATTCATCCGCTTTTAATATTATTACCTATATATACTACATATGAAACTTATTTTTCCCTAATCAAGTTTTAACTTAATTACATGGTTATATATAATATACCGATTATATACAAATTAGTTTTAAATGAGTCTCCTCAATTTTAGCCCATTAATTTAGTAAATCCCCCTGTCACAATATTTTTTTCCTCCCTCTTTCTATACCAAGTCTACAATATTTTGTAACACCCCGTAAATTTGAATCAGTTGTGGATAACTTAAATGAGTATTAACGTGATGGCAATCGATTGGTTATGATAAGAAGTCTACTAGGCATATCATAAGTGATTTGAGGCCCAAGGAGAGAACTAAGTCTAAGCCAAGTTGGAAAATTACATGATAGACTAAAATTCCAAATGAGTACGCACAAGACCATACTTTGGACGAGCATATATACAGATATATAAGGCTTTAGGTGATGCAAAACCTATAAAAAGAAAGTTCTTTGAGTCTAGCTTCTAAAGCTTCAAACCGTTCGTCATTTGGACTTTCCTACAAGAAGTTATGACCAAATTACCAAAGGCTGGCAGAGGACTGCGCGGATGAATTACCAAATTACCAAGAAGTTTTGCAAGATTTCTTCCAAAAAGGTAATCCTACTCCCTTAGACTTACATGTGTGGATTTATTAAGGGAATATGAGTATGAATAAGAAATAGAACTCTTGGTATGGTGATTGGAAGTCATAAATTCCCAATTTAATTACATAACTATTGTAGGGATATAATAGATGATTATTTAATGGAACTTTGTTGGTTGGGTGTGGATGGATGGTCACATATGTGATGTGGAAGTTATAAATTAGTTAATCATGATGGTGGGATAAATTGTTGATGAATGGTGTTAGTTGGATGAACTAAATATATATGGTGATGGGATGTAGAGATTTATGCCTACAAGGTGTTTGATAATATGCCTAAGTGGCTTAAGTTATGGAACTTGTTACTAATATTGGTTCCATTAGATGTTGCTATTGTAGGTTGAAGGTTCTTAGTGTTGTGGATCATTGTACTATCACTAAGGGGCGAAATTGAGGTATGTGAGGCTAACTCTTTACGTTTGGGAATGTTTATGATTCTCCCTACGTCCCATTCATTATGACTATTACTAGTTTCCTCAGAAAGTAATTATGCCTTAGTTCCATGAATAGCAGTAGAACTTCTATTCTCTATATGGTATAGTTTCATAATCATTCGATATTCTATGAGTTTCAGTTATGACGAATCAACTTATTATGAGTACACATCTCATTCTAGTCCTATTCATTATTCCAGTATCATGTAACTCAGTATGGTTCATTATTTCAGTATCATGTATTGCAGTATGATTCTCAGTTCCTGATTCTAAATTCTTGAATGTTGAACACCTGTATTTGGGCCCAAGGCCGCGTTTATTCTTTATGCATTTTTGGGCCTGAGGCTGCAATTATGTATGCGTATACTTGGGCCCGAGGCTGCAATTTGTGCGTGCGCGCACACACACACACACACACACACACACACACACACACACACACACACATATATATATATATATATATATATATATATATATATATATATAGGGCCTGAGGCCGCAGTTTAATATTCAGATAAACAGCTTGTTCGTCATTCAGAAGAGGGAGTATTCATAACCTTACTTCCTATGTTTAGTTCAGTTATCAGTTATCAGTTTCAGTTACCGTATTTACTGTTCTTTCCTTCAGTTGTTTTACATACCAGTGCAATTCAAATATACTAACGTCCCTTTTTGCCCGGGGCCTGTATCTCGCGATGCAGAAAATGATTTACTGGTTGACGATTCTACTTGCTAGGACATCTCGTATCAGCTATGGGTGAGCCCCAGTATTTCGAGGCATTATCCCTCCCTTTTTTAGTCATTATAGTATTTCCGTTAATAAGGTATACCTGGGACCTTGTCCCGGTAAGCAGTTAGCATTTTCAGTATTTTTAGATGCTTCGTAGACTATAACCCAGTCAATCAGATCTTAGCAGGCTTTTATGTGTTAGCCTTGTCGGCTACTTGTTTATACTTGCAGACCTTTCGGTATTTCCCGCATCTATGATATTTCAGTCAGACTCTTTAGTAGATTATCATGTCATATAATTACCTCTAGCTACAGTTATACCACATCTTGATCCAGCCATACAGTTGGTTCGCTCGGTCACATGCAGGCAGGCACCGAGTGTCGTGTTACGCCCAGGCCATGGTTCGAGGCATGGCATAGTTCCTCTTCTAAAACTCATAATTTTCTCTAATAATGGCGAAGAAGGGGATTAATTTTTATCGATCAAAATTTTGCCATGGCTGGAGTTTCAATCTTTTCTGGTTTTCCACTTTTCTTATTGGCATTCTGATGGGGGGATAGCAGCAGATGGATATCAATTATTTGGCTCGATCATTCGAATTTAAATTGTCTATCAATAAATTTTGAAGGTGTTTGACTCCCCACCATTGACAACCATTAAAAAAGTTCCGAAGCCTTGAATTTGAATATGAATTTTTCAAAAAATATTATTTTGTTTAGATTGGGTGTTAATGCAAACGATTGGGAATATTCAATGGAGTTTATATCTCAATTTTGAGGGTATTTGGTGAAGATTTGATTTGATTTTGACTGGGTTTTCAGATTGAAATTATTCGAAGAAGAAGAAGAAGAACACATGACATACAATATACATATAAAAATTATATTAAAGTTATATAATAGTTGTATGAAATTTGTATGAAAACTGCATTTGGCGGTATTTTATTTGTAGGTTTTGTTTCTGAATGTTATATGAAAGTTGAAAATTAGTTGTATATTGTATGAGTCATTGTATGGAAATTCGTATTTAAGTTATTGTAACGACCCGATCAGTCGTTTTGAGCTTTTGCATTTCACTCGCCAGTTCTCGGGCATGACTAGCCCTGTGTGATGTATTATGACTTATGTAAATCGTCGGTTTTGGTTTTCAGGATAATTGGAATAGATTTGGAAGAATAATTCTCAGTTTGAAGCTTTAAATTTGAAAAGTTTGAGCAAGTTTTGAATTTTTAGTATTCGATCTCGGATTTGGATTTTTATGATTTGGTTAGCTCCGTTAGGTAATTTTGGACGTGGGAGCACGTCCAGAATGTATTTTGGAGGTCCGTGGTAGATTTAGGCTTGAATTGGCAAAATTGGAAACTTGGCATTTTTCGGTCGGCGGTGAAAATTTTGATATCGGGGTCGGAATGGAATTTCGGAAATTTGAGTAGGTCCGTTGTGTCTTTTGTGACTTGTGTGAAAAATTTCAGGTCATTCGGAGGAGGTTTGATAGACTTTTTGATCGAATTCGGAATTCGGAAGTTTTTGAATTCTTAGGCTTGAATCCGAGGGTGATTCGATGTTTTGATGTTGTTTTGAGCGTTCCGAAGGTTGGAACAAGTTTGAATGATGTTATGGAATGTGTTGGCATGTTTGGTTGAGG